GCTCAAGTTATAACCATCCCAACTGTTTATAGTCAGATTTTCTTCTGTCCACAGTTTGGATTTGCCTTTGATGACTAGTGTCACCGTCTACTTTGCTCAGTGACAATGCATGGTGGACATTATACCACACATATAACCAATACAGCCTCAATTCTTAGAAGATAGATTTTATCTCCCATTTCCCAATTGCCTACTCTGGTGTACAGACCGCTGTTTATGAATGATGACAAAGTACAAATTAACTTTCAACTGAGAGTTGCCTAGTGAATATTTTATGTCATTCTTATTTAGTAACAACAATGGCATTCATGGTGGGTATATAGGTGAGTGTGTGTGTGCATTTTACCATAACTGTAGAAATGGCTTATTGGGCAAGTCTTATAAAGACAGAAAAGTGAAATCTCACATTCGTTTTCCAGAATGTCTGCCAGACACTGTGGTGCTCAGTGAAAGGCTTTTGTCGCTCTAAGCTGGACGCTGCTGCAGATGGGACAAGATGTGGTGAGAAGAAGGTAATGTGTCAGGCTGTGGAAGAAAGGTGGGAGGGTGGTGGGCATAAAGATGTGGAGAGGAGCTAAGAGAAGGCCCCGTAGAGTGTCTGTGTCTGGGTGAAGAGCAGTGAATGGAGATAACACGGTTAGACTAGCCAGAGGAGAGGACTCTATTTCTACTACTCCTTTTGGGCCTTAGCTGGCAAAAAGTTATTATTGAGAGAGGGTTGAGGCCCACTTCCACACTTCACTTGTAAAATATCTATCCCATCTTTCTCTGCACAAGTTCTGTGGGGTTTGTGGGCAAAACATTTGCTGGGCTTATTATCTGAAACTATCCTTTTGACTTTTTCTTTCTCCATGTTGAGGATTGCAAAGGATAAGCCCGTGGCTTCTTCTTTGCAAAGACGCCAGATGTTGGTCTTCTATCCCCTTCTCTCTCGTCATTTTACCTGGTTACATTTCTTAAAAGTGTTCCTACTTTATTAAGCAGGAAAGTCAGACACCCACAAATACAGAGTTGCTAGATATCCTCTGGATTGCCTGAGAACTGTGTTATATGTGCTGGTCAACTAAAACAACTGGGTTTGCTATTTGTCTAGGACTTAGGGTTTAGTGGATATCTTTATGCAGCTTGGGTATGGCATGACCTAGCACTGAGATTATAGAACCAGCTCAGAATACCCAGTGAGCAGAAATAATGGGCAAAAGGAGGTCAGCAGATAAAACATTCGCAAATCCTCCAAGAAATATGGCCATTTCTAACAACAAAGTTGCATTTCCTCTTGTTTTTCTTTTTATATATTAGTCCTCCTAAACTGATAATTAGTGAAAGAGTGCCTTGAAGAGGGGAGAGAGTGGATTTTTTTCTGAGTCACTTGAAAGGCCAGAGCTGGAAACAATCGGCAAAGTTACAGGAAAGCAGATTTTTTTTTTTTTCTTGATATAAGAAAGAACTTCCTGACAGCTAGTGTTTTTTCAGTGAAGTAAAGTGTGCTGCAGGAAAATCAGTTCTCTGTTGCATGCATTAAATACCTATAGAGGAGCTATGAAGAAGTGCTATTCACACTGTCAGTCTGTGAATGGTTTGTTGTGGTCTGCAACAAGATAAAGAGCTTGCACTAGAAAGTAAATCAACTATGTTACCGAACAACTGTGTTACTATGCATACTAAACTGACATGTTTTTCACAGCAAGACTTTGTTGATGACGGAAGCAGTGCATTTATTTACATTCTAGCATACAATCTGTTGACCACACTTTGAGTAGCACTCCTGTATCAGCTGTGACTGTTGTTGCTGTAGGTGCTGTGGAGTCGATTTTTGACTCATAGCGACCCCTTTGACAGTAGAACTGCCCCGATAGGGTTTTCTTGGCTGTAGTCTTTATGGAAGCACATCACCAGGTCTTTCTCCAGTGGAGACACTGGTGGCTTTGAACTGGTTACATTTTGGTTAGCAGCCAAGCCCTTAACCTTTGCGCCACCAGGGCTCCTTCAGCTGTAAATAGACACCATAAAGTTCTCTTCCATTCCTGAAATACTCTGATTATAAAATTCAAGACTCTTGGGAGAAACTCTTTTAATGAGCTCCTCTTTGTTCTACATCTGATGTTTGGCCTAGGAAGTCTGCTTTCTCAGGAAGCATTGAGTCGAAACTTCTAGAGTTCTTGGCTTAGCTTATCATGGGAACATTCCTGACACATTCATCTCCGTCTCATGCCTCTTCGCTTTCCAGTGGTGTATGGCCGGCAAGTGCATCACAGTAGGGAAGAAACCAGAGAGTATCCCTGGAGGCTGGGGCCGCTGGTCACCCTGGTCTCACTGCTCCAGGACATGTGGGGCCGGAATCCAGAGTGCAGAGAGGCTCTGCAACAATCCTGAGTAAGTATGGCCAAATGTTCCTTGCTTCCATAAGTGTTGGGAGATCAGTCTTGGAGAGCATGAGTCCAGTGACCCCGAGGCTACAGAGAGAAATTAAATGGGTTTCCAAAGACAAAAGAGAATCAGCAGATTCACTGAGTTTCCCTGTGAAAGATTTGGCTTTTTTTTCTTATTTTGGGATTGGGACTAGGTTCTTACTAGACCTTGGAGAGGCAGGCTGATTCCATTTGGGGAAATAAGCAAATTTCTTTTTAAAATACAACCTAGGTTAAATCCGCTAAAAATCTCGAGAAAAAAAAATCCGTTGCCGTTGAGTCATTTCCAACTTACAGCGACCCTATAGGACAGAGTAGAACTGCCCCTGAGGGTTTCCCAGGAGCAACTGGTGGATTCAAACTGCCGACCTTTTGATTAGCAGCTGAGCTCTTAACCACAGTGCCACCAGGGCTCCATAAAGCCTTTAAGAGAGTATGCAATTAAATCCTTTTAGATAATTCCACTCTATCAGAAAGACAAAGGCCTTCATCCATTTAGTCAGATGCAATTTTGCTGATAAGATTGTAGCTTGCTTTCAATCAGAATAAATGTTCAATTTCATAAAAAAGTTTTTTTCCCTTAGGTAATAGTAAAATAGCCAAGCACATTTTGAGTATAATTATTTTCAATGTTTTAGATAAGGTTTCAAAGTAGCCTGTTAAGGATTCCATAAAGTTATTTCATAAGTGGTTTTCAATTTTCTAATGAAACTGCTTTTGTCCATATTTTATATTTGCAGCTAGATATGAATTAAATTAAATTTAAATTCTTTTGCTTTCCAACTATATATTAAATTCTTAATTTCATTTTTTCCTGGTATACTAATTCCCAAGTATAATTTTTCTTCAAGTATACGTGTGATTGCTATGGGTCAGAATCAACTCGATGGCAACGGGTTTGGTTTTATGGGTTTTGTACATGTGATGTCTCCTGCAAGTAGAAAATATATTAAACTTCTTTTACCTAGATTAATGTTAGTCTGTCTTGGACAGTAAGCATTACATTTTTTTAAAGGCAAGCAATAAATATGATTATAATTCCCGCAATATCTCAATTCCAAGCTTATCCTTTTTATTAGTAAATATATTGTTATATGTGTATCTATATAGATGTATACTTAAACATATGTGTATGTATGTACATGTACATGTATACACTATATAAACAGTATATATAGATATATACATATACCAAAAAAAATAAACAAACCTGTTGCTGTGGAGTTGATTCCAACTCATAGTAACCCTATAGGACAGAGTAGAACTGCCCCATAGAATTTCCAAGGAGTGGCTGGTGGATTTGAACTGCCAGACTTTTGGTTAGCAGCTGAATGCTTAACCACTGCACCACTAGGGTGCAGCTATAGATGTATATGGAGCCCTGGTGGCACAGTGGTTAAGAGCTCGGCTGCTATCTAAAAGGTCGGCAGTTCGAATCCACCAGCCACTCCTTGGAAACCCTATGGGGCAGTTCTACTCTGTCCTACAGGGTTGCTATGAGTTGGAATCGATTCGACAGCAATGGGTAATATAGATATATAGTAAATTTCTTCTGAGGGTTAATAAGTTAATATTCTCTATAAAGAATCTAACACAATACCCAGTACATAATAAATTGTCGGTAAATGGTAGTTATGATAGTAGCGATTATATCTTTATTATATCTACCACTTACATGTATTTGAGGACAACATTGTTTGAAAATTTTACCCTTCAATAGAACTTGTTTTTGTTTAAATACAGGCTTTCTATGACTTCAAAAATTCAAAACTAAGAATTTCTCATAGAATATTTTTACAGAAAATTTTATTTTGTATTTATTTCAATTTGATCAGAAAGGCGATTTCAATTTTGGAGATCAGGAAGCAGGCGGATTGCTCTGGGAACTCCCGTCAGTGCTGTGCAGTCAGCTGCCAGTTCGTAGCCTTCTTGGGAGGACGGTCAGTGGCCTGTGGTTATCAGAGAGGAACATCCTAGTTGAAAAACTGACGGACAATCCTTTAACTCATCTTTGGGGAAAGATCATCCTAACCCCCCATCTTTACACACACACACACACACACACACACACACACACACACAACACCACACACACACTTTTTGCTGTCGGGTTGATTTCGACTCATAGCAATCCTATACAACAGGATAGAACTACCCCATAGCAAGGAGAGGCTGGTGGATTCAAACTGCTGACTTTTTGGTTAGCAGCCTTAGTTCTTAACCACTTCGCCACTGGGCTCCACAATTTATCATAGAATCTTCTCAGGTGAGTGGCCACATCTACCCTCAATTTAGTTAAGTTGATTGAGAACAACACTAATGTTAATAAGGTTATAGATTCGGTTCTTGTATGAGCCTGCTGACCATAAGCCCTTGAGTTCAAATATACCAACTTGAGTTCAAATACACCATTGATGTTGGTCAGCTATCTAGTGAGCAGGGATTGGCTCAGAGAGGCTCTCAGTGATGTTTGTGGGATGTGTTCCAAATGTAGCCATTAGTCACAGGTGCCAAGTCAGAGTGTCACTCCATCACCATGACTAGAAAACTAGCCTGAGTTCAGGTATCAAGGACAAGTCTTAGGACCTCCTGCAGGGAGGGAGTCAACTGATGAATTACCTGCCATGTGAACTACCTTGGTCAAAGCTCTTTTATATGTGAGGAACCAAAACCTACTCAAGCCTAATCACATTTAAGATAGATGGGTGTGTGTGTGTGTGTGTGTGTGTGTGTGTGTGTGTAGAAAATCTCCTGGACACTCAAAGAGGGCAAAGTACAGCACAGCCACACAGGAACTACAGCTGCAACCAGAACTGGGCAGGACTGTCAAGGTTTGAGGTCTCTCTGTTCGTGGGGCTGCATGCCAGGCAGTATGACACAGTGGATAAGGGCTCAGGATGTGCATTAAGGCAGATGAGTATTCAAATCTTGGCTCTGCCACTACCAGTTGGGCACTTTGGGAAGATGTCCTAGTTTTCTGTGTCTAGAATATGGTTCCATCTTGACTGCTCACTTGATATGTGTATTAGGTTCCTTTTGCTGCTGTGACAAATTACCACAAATTTAGTGGCTTAAAACAACCTACATTTGTTATTTTACAGTTCTGAAGGTCAGAAATGTAAAATCAGTTTCACTAGGCTAAAATCAAGGTGTTGGCAGGCTTCATTTCTTTTGGAGGCTCTAGAGTAGAATCTGTTCCTTTGCCGTGTCCACCTTCTAGAGGCCGCCTCTATTCCTTGGCTCCAGGCTCCATCCTGGCATCATTCTGATCTCTGCTTCTGTCCTCACATCCCCTTATCTGGTTCTACTGCTTCCCTCTTTCTCTCTATGATTAAATTGGGCCCACCCAGATAATGCAGGATAATTTGTACAGATACTCGTGTACACAGTGGGTTGATTGAGGGAAAATACAGGCAGAGGAGAGACAGGAATCCAGATGAGGTTTGGACTACTTTGGTGGTTATGGGGATGAAGAGAAGGCAACAAATGTAAAGATACAACTGATTAACCAGGCAGCTGATTAAATATAGGGTCAAAGGAAAGGCAAAGGATGGATGATTCTGAAATTTTACCCCACTTAACTCACTAAATAGGAAACAGAGAAGGAGCAGTTTGGAGGGAAAATTATGCCTCCCCTTTCAGCTTATCCTTGGGTTTGAAATGCCGGAAGATTATACAGGTGGAAAAGATACACACATTATTTCAAAAAAGGTAATATACTCTTGGGACTGAAATGTTGATGTATCACAGGAAAAAAAAATGGGTGAAATTGGAAGAATTTATTTAAGAGGTAAGTTTGAAGGCAGGGAAGGATATGGCTTGGCAAGGAACAGACATGGCAAGATGTCTGGGCATTTTTAAGGGAAAATTCTGGCCTTTATGGAAACTAAAAACATGGCTTGTCTGCTTCATTTATAGACCAAAGTTTGGAGGGAAGTACTGCACTGGGGAAAGAAAACGCTATCGCTTGTGTAACATCCACCCCTGCCGCTCGGATGCACCCACATTTCGGCAGATGCAGTGCAGTGAGTTTGACACTGTTCCCTACAAGAATGAATTATACCACTGGTTTCCTGTTTTTAATCCAGGTAAGGGGCTCTAACAGTATATTTCAGATTTAGGGTCACAGCCATTACCAGAAAGCATTTCTATGTTAGGGTGTCTGTGATGCCCTGCAAACCTCAACAAAAAGACACCTGACCTTTAGGAGTGTCATATTTTAGAAAATTGACGCACTGACCTGTTAAGTTGGTCAGTAAATGTTGAAGGCTGAAAATGTGCACCTCAGGGGGGTAATAGAGAAGCTTATCAAACATGGTAATTGGCTTCAAAACAACTGAGATGCAACTGAGTGGTAAACTGGGCATGTAGGAATCCAATATCTAATTGATGGTGAAATTGCTTCTTGATTTTGGCAGAAATTCAGAAAAGAAGGATATTGTAGGTTTGGGATAATTTTGAAGAAAGTGTCAAAGGAGGCAGTTGATAATTTTAAGCATGAGTAGTTTTTCTTTTGACAGAAGGAAATGAGAAGGAATTCAAAACAGAGTCATGCCAAGTGGGAGGAAAATGGCACTAAGGAAGGCAAGATGGGGGGAATGCCTTCATCAGAAATGAACGAGAGCACATCCATGTTCATTGCAACATTATTCACAATAGTAAAAAGATGGAAACAACCTAAATGCCCATCCATAGATGAATGGATAAACAAATTATGGTACATACACACAATGGAATACTATGCAATGATAAAGAACAATGATGAATCAGTGAAACATCTTACAACATAGATGAATCTGGAGGGCATTATGCTAAGTAAAGTAAGTCAATCACAAAAGGACAAATACTGTATAAGACCATTATTATAAAAACCCAAGAAAAGGTTTACACACAGAAAAATATATCCTTTAATGGTTATGAGGGTGGGGAAGGAAGGGGGGCAAATCACTAACTAGATAGTAGACAAATGTCAACTTTGGTGAAGGGAAAGACAATATAGGGGAAGTCAGCACAACTTGACCAAGGCAAAATCATAGAAGTTTCCTAGACACATCCAAACATCTTGAGGGACCGAGTTGCTGGGGCTGAGGGCTGGGGAGCATAGTCTTAGGAGACATCTAGGTCAGTTGGCATAACATAGTTCATAAAGAAAATGTTCTACATCCTACTTTGGTGAGTAGCATCTGGGTTCTTAAAAGCTTGCAAGCAGCAACCTAAGATACATCTATTGGTCCCATCTTGCCCGGAACAAAGGAGAATGAAGAAAATCAAAGACACAAGGAAAACATTAGCCCAAAAGACTAAAGGAGCACATGAACCACAGCCTCCATTAGCCTGAGCCCAGAAGAACTAGATAGTGCCCGGCTACCACCACTGACCACTCTGACAGGGATCACAGCAGAAGGTCCCTGACAGAGGGGGAGAAAAATGTAGAACAAAGTTCAAATTCACAGAAAAGACTAGACTTACTGGTCTTACAGAGACTGGAAGAGCCCCTGAGACTATGACCCGCGGACACCCTGCTAACTCAGAAGCAAAGTACTTCTGAAGCCTGCTTTTCTAAGATTAGACAGGACTATAAAACAAACAATAACATGTGTGAGGAATGTATTTCTTAGTTCAATCAAATATGCGAGCCCAAATGAGCAACTCCTGCCCAAAAGTGAGGTGAGAAGGCAGGAAGGAACAGGAAAACTGGACGAATGGACATGGGGAGCCTGGGGTGGAAAGGGAAAGAGTGCTGTCACATTGCAGGGATTGCAACCTATGTCACAAGTAAATATGTGTATAAATTCTTGAATGAGAAACTAACTTGAGCTGTAAACTTTTACCTGAAGTGAAATAAAATTTTTTAAAAAAGAATTGAATGAGAGCCAGCTCTGGGCTAGAAATCAATATTTCATGTGGACAGGACAGCATAAGAAGGGTAAAAAGTAAAATAAGGCATCTAAAGGATGTGCAGGTCCCTAGGTGGCACAAACAATTTGCTCTTGGCTACTTTACTTGACAAAGTAGAAGGTCATTGAAAAAAAAAGGAAAACCCTCAACGAGATGGAATGACACAGTGGTTGCAACAATGGGCTCAAACATAGCAGTTGTGAGGATGGCACAGGACTGGGCAATGTTTCATTCTGTTGTACATAGGGTGGCTATGAGTCGGAACTGACTCGATGGCACTTAACAATATAACAACAACACTAACCAAAAGGTTGGTGACTCAAATTCACCCAGCAGCGCCATGAAAGAAAGGCCTGGCAATCTACTTTTATAAGATTACAGCCATTGAAAACCCTATGGAGCAGTTATACTCTGACACATATGAGGCCGCCATGAGCTCAAATCGACTCGATGGCAGCGGGATTTGTTTTTGGCAAAGGATGCACATCCGAGGAAATGGAGTTGGAGAGTGAAACAGCAGTCTTGGCAAAGCTTCCTCTGAATGAGGACAAATTGCACGTTCTTTCCTGAAAATGAAGAAAACTCAATGACCATTAAAAAACAAACCAAACCTGTTGCTGTTGAGTTGATTCTGACTCGTAGCGACGCTATAGGAGACAGTAGAACTGCCCCATAGGGTTTCTAAGGGAGCAGCTGGTGGATCCGAATTGCCAACCTTTCAGTTAGCAGCTGAGCCCTTAACCACTATGCCACCAGGGCTTCCAATGACCATTAGCTATAGATCAATAATAATAACCAAAAAAAAAAAAAGTTATCTGTGCTATTTGTTGTTTTTTGAGTGGGACGTGAAATGGAAGAGATTTCTTGAGCTAAAAAGATTTGAGGCAAGAAGTAAAATATATGCTAGCCAAATTGATTGTGATTTTTAAGTCCCTAAAATTCCAGTTTTATAGGGCATAAGACAAATCATAGATGTTGGCCAAAAAGTGAGAATTACATATTACCACTTCAGGTCTCCAGAACATCCTGACAGTTTTCAGTTGTCAAAGGCAATGTCTGCCCCTTGCCCTCTATTATTTAACATCATTCATGCTCTAGAAAAGTGAGTCATTTGGTTATTGGTGCAATTTAGCTTCCTGAGCTGCGTGTTTGAATACAAGAAAATTCATGTGTATACTCACATGGACTCCATAAATAACTAAAGATGAAAGGTACATTCAGTCAGTACTATCTGTACCTGTATTTTGCACATTCTCTATTCTGTTGAAACTATTTGGGTCAGTGATCATGTGGACTCTGAATGTGTAGGCTTCCAGATGTAGGACAGCATAGCTTCCCCACTGGTGTGACAGGTGCTTAGTTTGGAGTCTCCCCACACTCCCTCGCCAGATGTAGGATTGGATTTGTGTGTGCTGAACTCTAGTGGCTAGAGTAGCTGGATTTGGAATTAAAAGATTTTGTTACGCTTTGCTTTTCATTTATTTACAAACATCTATCTATGCATGTTGTTGTTGTTATGTGCCCTCAAGTTGCTTCTGACTCATAGCGACCCTGTGTACAACAAAACAGGACACGGCCAGGTCCTGCACCATCCTCACAGTCGTTGCCATGTTTCAGCCCACTGTTGCAGCCTCTGTGTCATCCATCTCATTGAAGGACCTCCTCTTTTTTGCTGACCCTCTACTTTACCAAGCATGATGTCCTTCTCCAGGGACTGGTCCCTCCCGACAACATGTCCAAAGTACATGCGACAAAGTCTCGCCATCCTCACTTCTAAGGAGCATTCTGACTGTACTTCTTCCAAGACAGATTTGTTCGTTCTTCTGGCAATTCATGATATATTCAATATTCTTTGCCAACACCGTAATTCAAAGGCATCAATTCTTCTTTGGTCTTCCTTATTCATTGTCCAGCTTTTGTACCCATATGGATAATGAATAAGGAAGATCAAAGAAGAATTTATGCACCCCCATCTCTGTCTTTAGAGTCCTGTGTCATAGGCCAGCCTAATGACATACCCTAAGTCCTCCCAGGGCACCATGAAAGGCAAAGGCCGGAGAGAGAGGTCATAGAAACAGGACTTGAAGTTCAACCTTGTAAGCCATTTAAATACCACTGGAACTACAGGCCTGGAAGTGCTGGGAGACTCACAGCAGTGGGGCTGTATTCTGTTATTGTTGATGCCACAAAGATTATTTACAAGATACTTCTAAGACTCTGTAGACCACTGCAATTATAGCCAACAAACTTGTGTTTCTAAATGCAGTGTACTTCAGGTAACCTGTCTAACCTTGAAGGATGTACTAGTCCTGTGTTGCAGACAGGATGGAGGGAAGTCCTGAAATTGCCTTTCCATGGAGATGTGTCATGATTGTCAGAGGAGAAAGGAGACCTTTTTAGGTTTTTTTGTTTTTTGTTTTTTTTTTTTTGAGGGCCAAGAATTATTATTTTAAAAAGTAATCCATCCTTATTGGAGAAAAAATTGAAAATTTACATACTAGAGTGAAATAAAATTAAATTCTTCTTATCCATCTACCTTTAATTTATTCCTCAGAGAGTTGTTGTTAGTTGTTGTTGAGTCAGCCCCGACTCATGGTGACCCCATGCACAATGGAACAAAACACTGCCAACATTTTCAGCGTAATTGGTTGGCTAATACAGGAAAGTAACGTAAGTAAGAAAGGATATGATTGGGTTGCTAAGTTGTTTGTGTTTCTTAGAATGCCATTCCTTCATCGCACATGATTGGTTGTGGATTGGACAGTGTTCTCTTGTAGCTGATTTTCTGCTGTAGATTTCTAGGCCTTTCTTCCTAGTCTGTCTTGGTCTGGAAGCTCCGCTGAAGCATGTCCAGCATCATAACAACACACAAACCACCACATTATGGCAAACTGATAGATGGGTGGTGACTGCGCATGAGTGCATTGTCTGGGAATCAAACTCAGGTCTCCCACATGGGAGGCGAGAATTCAGTCATTGAACAACCAATGCCTCACATTCCTCAGAGTTAGCCATTGTTAATAATATGTTTTCATTTTCATACAAATGGAATCAAACTTTGTTGTTTCTGCTGCAGCTTTCTTCATTCATAGGCATCATGGTTTACCTCATTCCTTTTAATTGCTGCATATTGTTCCATTGTGGAAATGCAACTTTATCCATTTCTCGTTGGATAACCATTGAATTGCTG